ATTTCCTCATTACATAACTAAATCATTTATTTGACTGAATCCTTCAGGCAAAATGGGATGGGATATAACTCGTTCCTGGGCCGTCTGGGAGTGTGTTTGGCTCCTCTAGTCCTGCTATTAGACAGTTTTTGGGGCCACTTCTCTCAGACCATCCTGTGTTCTGTGGCACTCATTGCTTCGGTGGTGGCCTGGCAGTTACCTGAGACACGAGACAGGTGTCTGCCTGAGACTATAGAGGATGTCGAGGGTACCGGGTAAGTCATAACCTACTGTATAGTATTTTGTTAAGGCAACTATAGAAGACTTGTATTAACACACTGCTGAACACTATACTTGAGTAATTCTATTGAGTCAAGGAAGTAATATTGGGACCAAAACAGATGTAGGTGTGTTTAATCTAAAAGAATCTGGAAAGTTTATATTGTGTTTTCATTAACCAAGTCATTTTTTTATCATATTGAATAGGAAAAATCTCATTTATCATGACAAGCAGGAGGATGAGGAGAAAATGACAACAACTGAAACCAATGAGGACCACTGAGATTGTGTGCACATTCAATCCTAAATTCAACCAAAGTTGTTTAGTGTCCTGTTCAGATCCCAGAAGAGTAAATGCACGCAAAAAACTTGAAAGAACAATTCCAAAGTTCTTTTAAAATATGTTTTATTAGTTACACAAGGATTTACAACTTTCTCCAGTGCCATGTAATAATTACAGATATTTTCTAAGAATGGAGGCGTGAATGAATAAATGGAAATTGTGAGTTTGTTTGTGAAAAACAGTAAAATGAGAGAGAAAGAGCCTATGTATGTGTGCATGTTTAAGTGACTTTTGTATTACTTTTTTATTAGATGCCAGTGGCCATTTCTGATGATCAGACTACATGCAACGACATTTGCATATATCTATGTGAAAATAAATCTTTACAACTTACAATTTGTTTTTAATATGTAAAAAATATTTCTGAAACAAATAATTAAAAAAAAGAGCTTTTCTTCGTGACTTAATGTTCGCTTGGCATTTCATTCTCTGCATTTTCTTTCTCGTAAATGTAACAGCCCACCTTTCCAATGTTCACACCTTTTGGTCCAAACAGGTACCCGTAGCAGGGCACATGGCAGTATGGACTGCCCTCATGCTGCAGAAAATAGAGAAAATACTGCACATTATTAAGGAGTCTGAAGCAATCATCATGGTAGATATTCTACAAATATATCATTTACATTATATATAGGATTTACATTTCAGATTTAGCTACTGTTTTAATTGTAATTTAATATTTAAAACCCAAAAAAACAATAATTCAAAAATGCATTTGTAAACATCTCTATCAGAGTAGGCAAAGACGTAGTAATTGCATATTGTGCTTTAATAGAAGTAGTAGGTTGTATGACACATTTGTAAGTACCTCTGCATGGCCACCAGGGGTCAGTGTTTTCTTGCACCTCACACAGCGAAGACAAGGCCTGTGCCAGTTGCGACCCAGTGACATCACCTTCTCAGCTGCAGCATTAGACCATGACATCACATTACATCACATTAATACAACACTGTTTTTAATGGTTATCTATAAAGAATAATATGAAATGTATATTCAGAAAATTAACAAAAAAGTATTTATTTTAAAATAATTTGATATAAAACATGGAATATATAAAATATAAATACATCATTTAATTATACAATTTTACATTTAATTTATAACTTGACTGTGTATGGCTAAAAAATAACTAAAAAGTTTTTAAATGTTACACTTAAGTCTAAACTATGAGTAACTATCATCAACAATAACTTATCTTTGACTTTCACCTTAAAGGGGTGCAGTCTAACGTGTTAATGCTTCGTTTGTTTTAAAAACGCATTATTTTTCACATAATTTACCTTTATTCCACACCGCTCTGTCCCTTCTCTGAGAAACTCGCTGATCATTTCCTGCTTTTATGAAGCCCCGCCCTCAGAAATAGGTGATTGGTTAGCTAGCCCAGTGTGTTGTGATTGGCTAAACCGCCTCTAGTGCGCCTAATCTAATCGTCCCGCCCCTCACCTCTGCTGCATGTCTTGAAACCTGTTCATTAATCAGTAATCTGGAATCTTGCCCTAGCGCTTCTCAAAAAAGTGATAAAATGCAGAATGTATGTGTTTATGTCTGTGGAGAAGGATATGAATAAAACGATTTTTTTCTTTGAGCCTATGCACACAATGTAAAGTGACAAAGGCCTTAACTTTGATTTAATCCTCTTGATACACAAGTTTTGTGAACCACAAATCCTTGTGAACCACAATGGGCATGGTGGATAACAGCTGTCTGAAAGGTTTTCTAAGCCCAGATCAGTGCTGATGTTTGTGATTCAATGAAAACGAAAAAGTTAATCTGTACAAATGACCATACAAACAACCCAATCTGTCAGCATCACCTATGAATGTGTTTCTGCTTTTCTACTCTTTCTCTAAATTAATCTGTAGGCATTTAGATGGCATCTTTTGCTAGTTTGTGTCAAACATTTATGACAAATAAACTGTTCTAGTTTTATCTAAGAAAATCCTTCTTAACACTAGCAAAAAACTCAACGTGACAACTCTGACAAAAGATGTCGTTTTATTACATAAACAAACTGAGCTTGCCTTTTTTCAGCAACTCCAGAAATCAAGTCCCTATAAAATATCTACCAATAGAAAATTGGTCCAAAAAGACTGAAATGGTTTATAATATATTTATGTTTGAGCAAATCATGTTTACTAGCCAAAGAGTGTGTGACAAGATATCATCTGTAAAGTAAGAAAAGGTGTCAATGTCCATGTGCATTAACCACATGAACTGCACAGATGGCGAGACACTCTTTTACCAGCATTAACAACCAAATCACAAATCATTCACCCCTGCTGACAAGCTACTATGGGTAGCAGATTGTCTGAAGATGTGGACACACACACACATTAAACACAGACATACAACCACAGCACTTTTTTTAATGACCAAAGTACAAGATGCATCTGACTTCCAGTTAACCTTATCCTTTGTTATCCCATAAAAACTCACCACATAAACCAGGGATTTTGTAGGAAGACACTGAGGAAATTCTGTGTATTAACAAAAACCATGAAGTTTGAAGATCTAATTACGGAGATCAATGGCTTCGGCAGGTTTCAGAAGATGATTCTTTGCATCAGTTTAGTAGGACCATTCACTTTACCGTGTCACTTTCTATTAAGCAACTTTATCGCCGCCATCCCATCTCACAACTGTGATATCAGTTCTCTGGATGCCGAGGGAATCTTTGGGAATCTGAGTCGGGAGCAGAAACTGACTGTCAGTATTCCAGCACAAGATGATGGGACTCCTGCTTCTTGTCACATGTTCTCTTATCCTCAGTTTCATCTGTTGACAAACTCCTCCAGCAGCTCAGAACTTCCAGTAGTCCAGTGCCAGAATGGATGGGAGTATGACAACAGCACGTTCATCAGCACTCTCGCCACACAGGTGAGATTTCAGTGAAGAAGGTGCTGCACTTTATAAACCATGTTGTTGACCCTTTCTTGCTAGGATGGGCCTGTGTGCTGAAAAATCCAACTTCAACTCCAAATCATTTGAGGATTGCCTTAAACCATTTAAGTAAAAAAACAAAAAAAACAAAACTATATTTACATAATGTTCCTGTCGCTCAGTGGTAGAGCATTGCGTTAGCAGCGCAAAAGGTCGTGGGTTCAATTCCCAGGGAACACACATACTGATAAAAAATGTATAGCCTGAATTAGGGCTGGACAATAATTCAATATCAATATGTATCGCGATATTCATACTCGTTATCCTGGTTAATGCACGTTTCAATCTATAAGAATAATCAGCCTACACTACCAGTCAAAGGTTTTTGCACGGCAAGATTTTTAATGTTTCTTAAAGAATTATCTTCTGATTATTCTGATTTGCTGATTATCAATATTTAAAACAGTTGAGTACATTTTTTCAGGATTTCATCTGTTGTGGCCGTTCTTGGCCGTTTTTATGAGGCTTTTTTAATAGTGTTCATATCGATATCGGAATTATATCGTATCGACCGAAATTAAGAAATATATCGTGATATAAATTTTGGCATTATCGTCCAGCCCTAACCTGAATGCACTGCAAGTCGCTTTGGATAAAAGCGTCTGCTAAATGCATAAATATAAAACTATATTTATGAGTTCTGTAAACTTTTTCATTTCAATCACTGTAAACTATATTCAAATGCATTGTTTAGCTAAATCTTGAACCCTAAAATGAAACGGAAAATGAACTCAAGCAAGTCTCTAGCAGTTAATTAGCTAGCAATTCTGTGCATTGCAATAAAAAACATCACTGCATGTGCAGAGTTATAGCTTTTCAAATAAAGTAACAGTTTTTCAGTCACTGGATCATTCTCAACATAAACCCTAAATTCTACTCTTCAGCACAATAGTAACCCCCCAAAAGTCCAACATTACAAAAACTTAAAAATACCAAAACTGGAAATGAACTAGAACTCCGCCGTCCAAATTCGGTTCAAACTAATTATTTACTTCATTTAGTAAATTTCACTATTAGGTTTTACAGTGTCGGTAAATATGTCCTCCCTTTCACATCAAAAAAAAAACAAAAAAAAGGAAGTTAGTTGGGAATTTTGAGTTGTGATATGACAAGTTGTCATATGAAAGTTTGAAGGTTCAAGACCTTCGGATAAAAATGTCACGATAAAACTAGTGATATATTTCATCCACATCTAGTTTTGAAAATTCATGAAGCAGTTCATTACAATTCCTTGAAGGGGAGATAACACACAGTTTCACCCAATCTCATGTTAATCTTGAGTACCTATATAGTACTGCATCCTTTATATTAGGGCTGTGCGATATTGAAGAAAAATGCGATATGCGATACCTTGTTAAAAATGCGATATTCGATATGCGATATGATATTGCTTAAAGTGTGTAAAATCAATTTAAATGATATTTTAAAATATTTAAAAATGAAAATTATATAACCAATTTGTTTCACATTCTTTCTTGGAAAAGAAAGAATCACTACAACTTCTGAAAGTGACCAGCAGTGTTTTAGCATTACATAAAAAGTAATGTCACAAATCAGAAAATGTAATTTAACTTCAATGTGAACATACAAACAAAAAAATTAATGACACTTATTTTATTCCCCATAATGTACTGTGTGCATTAAAATCCCCACATACTACTATTTTGCCCTGCATTGATCCGCAAACTAATTCCAACATAGCAGTACTTAATCTATTGCAAGGGTTTTAACATTTTTTTATACTGTTTTCCCCTGACCATACTTCAATTACAACAGATTCATGTTCTTTCCCTTTACTAATAAGTTTATATCTTACCCCACTTTTAACAAAAGTTGCTACACCTCCACCTTTTCCTGTTTCTCTATCTCTCCTAATTGAAGTATATCCATACAATACAAAGTCCAACTGTGGTTTTAACCATGTTTCTTGCACACATACTACATGAGGTCTATCTGCTAAATCTGAGACAAAACTCTTGAATTCCTGTCCATTTGCTATAAGGCTCCTGGAGTTCCATTGCAATATAGCTAATATCATAAAGAGCCACCAACCCATGTCTGCGAGCTTGTGCTTCCTGCCACTATCATTTCTTCCACTACCTCACAGCTAAGCCCTTTTATTCCTAAATACTTTTCCGCTGATTTAACTATTATTTTGATCTTTTCTGTCGTCCGGTCTGTCTGTGCCGAGCAGTTTATCACCTCAACCATAAACAACACAAATTCATTTTTGCCCATAACTAACAAATCCTTCTTTGCCTCAATTTTCTCACACTTCCCACAAGACCTACTTTTATTTTCTTTGAGTTCTGGTTTATAGGCTTCCTTAGACACTTTCTTTACAGCTTCTGCATATGTTATTCCTTGCAGCGATCTCACTCGCTGCACCTCCATTGCCCTCTTGCTAGCTTCACATCCACGGTAGGCTGTTCATGATCACTTTATATTCTTCTTCTTGTTGTTTACTTGCTATTGCCATACTTTGTTTACTATCTGTTTCATCTATATTAGATGTTACTTTCTCCTTTTTTTCCGTTTTCTTGATCGTATTACATTCCAAACACTCCTATCTCTCCCGCCTTCTTCTTCAAATCCCATCTCACTTCCTGTCTCCTCACTTCCTTCCGCCATCTCCTGCCCAGTCACAGTCTAGCTGTTGCCAACCGCCGTCCCATCCGGCGGCGGGCCCTGGAGTCAGGGGAGAACGGCTTGTAAAACTAGTCTGGGTTAAGACATAGCTTTTGAAACTTTTTATTCACTGCATTTATCTCATTTGCTTTAGTGCCCTCATGCTGCAGAAAATAGAGAAAATACTGCACATTATTAGGGAGTCTGAAGCAATGATAAAGCAATCATCATGGTAGATATTCTACAAATATATCATTTACATTATATATAGGATTTACATTTCAGATTTAGCTACTGTTTTAATTGTAATTTAATATTTAAAACCCAAAAAAACAATAATTCAAAAATGCATTTGTAAACATCTCTATCAGAGTAGGCAAAGACGTAGTAATTGCATATTGTGCTTTAATAGAAGTAGTAGGTTGTATGACACATTTGTAAGTACCTCTGCATGGCCACCAGGGGTCAGTGTTTTCTTGCACCTCACACAGCGAAGACAAGGCCTGTGCCAGTTGCGACCCAGTGACATCACCTTCTCAGCTGCAGCATTAGACCATGACATCACATTACATCACATTAATACAACACTGTTTTTAATGGTTATCTATATATAAAGAATAATATAAAATGTATATTCAGAAAATTAACAAAAAATTATTTATTTTAAAATAATTTGATATAAAACATGGAATATATAAAATATAAATACATAATTTAATTATACAATTTTACATTTAATTTATAACTTGACTGTGTATGGCTAGAAAATAACTACAATTTTTTTAAATGTTACACTTAAGTCTAAACTACGAGTAACTATCATCAACAATAACTTATCTTTGACTTTCACCTTAAAGGGGTGCAGTCTAACATGTGTTAATGCTTCGTTTGTTTTAAAAACGCATTATTTTTCACATAATTTACCTTTATTCCACACCGCTCTGTCCCTTCTCTGAGAAACGGGCTGATCATTTCCTTCTTTTATGAAGCCCCTCCCTCAGAAATAGGCGATGGGCTCTGATTGGTTAGCTAGCCCAGAGTGATGTGATTGGCTAAACCACCTCTAGTGCGTGTCTAAATGTCCCGCCCCTCACCTCAGCGGCATGTGCTCCGGTTGTATTGTAAACAAAGGCGTCGTTAA